GCTCACGCGTGGCGTACTTTTGAAAGCAATAAAACGTGAGAAGTATCGGTCTGGTGGACTTCCGAGGCTCCTACGTCCTCCCCATTCGACTTCCCAATTGTCACACGTTTTTTTAGAAGGCAAAGGTTGCAGAAATTCTAATATGGCTAGCATCAACCAAATTTAGTAACTAATTATGTATTATCTCTGAATTCTTTGAACCTAATAAAACCTTTGCTACATATAATTCTGGACACTTAACAAAACTGTTAACTCTCAATGTGCAGCATTCAAGCCTTTGTTTGTTGCTACCCTCTGGGGATTCCATCGCGCCCATCCAAACTCCAATATTTTCCTCTCGGATTTTCTCTTTCATGCTCTCTTTTGAAACCCCAGAGCTGGATGATATCGTTAGCAGCAAGGAAGATGCTTTCGGCGAACCCCTTTGTGTCCCTGATGATCCTTTGGAGACCATCCAAATCTATCCGATGGAAGAACTTAAAATCTTCCTCGATGTTTTGGAAACGAAGAGGGTAAGAGAAAGAGAGAACACCGCGGGGTTGATGCGTTCGAGTCAATGTGAAGATGCGGAGAGAGTAGCTCGTCGTCGTGGTAGGCCGAGGAAAAGGAGAGAGGAAAGCGTAGCGTTCGTACTTGGCCAGAGTCGGAACCCAGAAGAGTCAGCTCGTAAGCGTGGCAGGCCTAAGAAAGGGGCAATCGACGCGATTCATAGCCGCGGTATACCGAAGAGGAAGAGGAATAATAACCACGGCAAGAATCATGCGTGGTCCGTAAAACCTCCAGAGTTGTCTCTGGAGAGCTCAGCACAGCATGTAAGCGATGATCGCAGCAGCGATGCTAGCAGCAGCGACGAAGCTAGCTCTCCAAAGAGTTCTGAAGCAACTCGGAGATGCGGTCACTGCATGACGGAGGAGACCCCGCAATGGAGAACGGGTCCTGATGGACGGGGGACGCTTTGTAATGCGTGCGGCATAAAGTACAAAAATAGTCAGAAAATAAACAATGCAGTCAATCTCAGTTGTAGCAATTTGATTAGAGAGAGAAACAGGAAGACAGTTTATGATGATTGATGTGCAATAAATGGATATATAAACAGCCTGTTCTTTTCGAAAATATTTACAGTTCTATACTTCGTGTTCAATTTCTGCCATAATACAGTTGTGCTCGTGATTGCAACATAGAAAAATTCTTAATGGATACAAAACAGTGTACCGAAGTGAAATGGATAAGGACATAATGTACGCCTTACAAAGGATGTACTTTTATTCTGATTTGTTCTGTTTGTACTTTGTACACAAAGGGAAAAACTCAGACCGCGCTCCAACTAAAAGAGGCAAGGGCTTCAGTATCCGTATTTCAAGCACATATGAGTGATATCTTGCCATAGTTGAAGATAGTACATAATACGCGTTACTTCTAAGTTGACTCGTTTGCTCTTTGATTTTCTTCTGAATGTAGAGCAGGGGCATCAGAGTTCTCGACTTCATCTTCAATGAGGACAGGGGCATCGGAGCATTTGGCTTCATCTCTGACCTTGTAACGTGTCTGATTGATGATATTATCTGTTGAATGAAGTTGCTTTCTCCTCTTCACAAGATGTGATGCAGTTTCTCGATCAACTAGTGCCTCTTCATGATTGGGCTATGCAAAAAACATTGAAGTTAGTATCATGCGAGCAAAATGTATGTCCAGATACAAAGACACGAGTATATTAACCTCTGTACCTTAATTTCTAAAGCCTTATCGAAACTTTTTATGGCCAAGTCAGGTTCCCCGTAGTTTAGCTGTGCTCGACCAAGGGTGATCCAGGCCTGTATAAGGAATATGCATGTCTATGGATTAAAAACTAAAGACAGGTTCATTCTCAGACTGTAGATGAAATATACATCCTCGTGTATTGAAAAGGAATACAGTTCCAATCAAAACAATATTGCTTTCAAATTCTGATAAGGCTAATTGCGGATAGACCCCCTGTACTATCTCCTAATCGCAGGATAGACCCCCTATAGTTTCATTGGGGGAGATACGCCCTTGTACTCCTGCCCAGGTGAGGACAGAAGCCCTGAGTGTTTTGCTTTTGTTTTGTGTTTTGTTTTTGAGGAGGGGGGGGCGGGAGGGGGGGGGGGCTCTAAAAGGTCAAAAAAAACTCAGGGGTCTATCCACAATTAACCCATTATTATGTAATACAGTTATAGTTGACCCCTGCAACATAAACTCATACAACATCAGTATTTACCTTAACTAAATTCATAATTGTGACAAAACATGAACTAATATTTGTATGTCCATTTGAACTTTACTGCTAGCATATAACTTGGTGCAGTTAAAAAAAGAGAACATTATACACCACAACCGGACTTACTGTGCTGAAGCAAGAACTTTTGTCTCCAAATTGGAAGAAATAGCAACAAAAAATTGAAACAGCTTGATTAAATTTAATCTAATTTGACATATCATCATCTGACAGAAGCATTCTAGATAAAAGATTTGAAAACATCTTAGGTGCTACATGATTACTGTTCCAGTAATGCTTCACATAAGACAACTTCCCTTCCCAGCAAACATGTAAATGTCTGTCATACCATGAAGCAATTAAATTTTAGTTTTGTGTCCAAATCACTATGAGGTATGATTTTTTCAATACTATGAACATGACTTTCCAATCATTTTACCCAAACCTGTAAATTCACATGCGCGCGCGCACGCACATGAACACACGGAAGCACACACAAGCATAACACATGCACATGTGCACACACCAGTTTCCATCTATTTAGACTACCTTCCTCTTTTTTATTTGAATAAGTAAGCAAACAAATCATCAATCAGTAGTCTTGGACTCCTATGGAGTTATGCTCACCCAGTTATCCTTATTTTGCAGACCTTTGGTTTTACATACCAAAGCTATCATGTCCGGTTCTTCACTGGATAATATTATGCATGTCCTAACTTTATTTCTTTCTCCCCCTAATCACCTTGATTTTTTAATATTGACTTTTATTAAATTCCCATAATGCAATAGCCAGTTGATTGTAATAGTGTGAATTGATGAGAAAACCGGTTTCTCAGCAAAGTGCTGAACAAAGTAATGAAAAACCTAAAAAATTGTGAATCATTTCCCAGTCTTCATTGTGAAAGGCGTCAGATAAGACTTCAAAACTAATGCTTGTTAGAAATGAATAACCTTCTATAAAGGCTTTATTTCAAGAAGTAAAGCTTTATAACCCGTCCAACTCGTAAGTTCTTAATCTTCCAAGAGCAAATGCTATCTTTTTGTGATCCCGAGAAGTCCCTTGTATGTTTTCTCTTTTGGAATATTCACTTTTTGTTCACTTATCATGATTGCTCATAATTTGGAACAATCAAGCTGTAATGAAGATGATACTGATATTCTAAGAACTACTGAATACTATCGACTTTTGTATATCATGAGAGCAGCTGATCTTTAATGCACAAAAACAGGATGTAAATAAGATGCTGCTTGTGTAGGGACTGTATCTTGTTGCTGTTTCTGAAAACTTACAGGCCACCAAGTTAATGCCGACTTCATTCCATTGTCATCGGTACATCATTCAAACCTCAAGGACATGTAAATGAGAGTGATATCATTTTCTTTTGTTTTGCGACTCAGATACAACCAAAGACAGATGGTGGCTCATATCCAGAAACTGAAAAGTAAAAAGGGCATATAAAAGATGATAGTGTGTCATTAACAAACCTCAGCCCACAATGGTTCCAACTCTGAAGCACCTGCAAGGTAACAACATTTAGCAATAGAGTATTTTTATAAGAGCAGGCCATGGATATCTAAAGTAGCATGCTAAACAATATCTTCGATTTTAAGTACTTTTGGTGAATCATGCAGCTCATGAGTCATATGCATGATATTTGAGTCCCTATTTCAGCATTTAGGAAAAAACAGGTATAGTTATTATGAAGCCTCGAGAAAAGGAAAACCTTGGAATTTAGCTTTCTTATCACTAGTATCTTTCTAGCAAATAAAACATGCCATTATATGTTGTGTGTATACACATCTCTTCTCAACTTAAAGCTACTAGTGTTGGTTTTCGTAAAAAGTGGTCACTCAGTATGCATACATTGACAAAAATAAAATTAAAAATATAAAAAAACTGAACAGAATTTTCTCAGATAAAATCTGGACTAGAGCTTTAAATTACAATTTTCCTCAATGGTGTTTGTAGCCAGTGAGGAACTTTATGAAAGAGACCTATCTCACTGTAGCATAAAGTCTGCGCTTGCTATTTGAATTAGCAGTAATTTTCATAATGAAATATTTGTCAAAGACAGTTTTCTGTAGTTAAACCTCAGGCATCTACCAGGAAATGCATATGCATGGACTGCTTGAATAGTCGAATGCGTCAAACCAACTGTCACTCCAAGATATGAACAAGGACCATACATGGAATTAACAGCACTTTACATGCATAAGTGTCCTGATATCCATCTATCTATGTTGCATTGAAGATATTACATGTCTAACTCAATTGTCAAAGTTAATTCAGGCTTATGGTAGAGAGAAAAATGCTTACCGTCCCATTGTCCCATGGGTTACAAACTTAAAGGTTAGTGGGCTTCTAGTGGACAAATGCCAGTAATGTTTGACCCTTCAGATTACTTATTTATTGATCTGCATGAAGCCTATCAAGACATGAATGTGTTTGAACCATATCTATTGCTGAAAAGTGGTATGCGCTTTCATAGAAACTTGGCATAGCTGTCTTCCAAATAAGAAACAATTATAATGTTTGAACGTATACTTACATCTCTCTCTACAAATATTTATTTGTATTTATATATGTAGGTAAGCAAACGGTTGGTGTATCATTCCACCATTCTAGCTGGAGTGGCGCTGACATGGCACATTCCAAATCCCTCTCTTGTGATCTGGGTGTATTGACGATCGAGAATACAAAGGTTGAATATACTACACGAATGTCTCACCAGCTAAAAGGCCGAAGGGGCACGCCAACCCCCATAATACATGTGTGTGCAGGGGTTTGGGGGGTGGGGGTGGGCAAATAAGGATTTATGTGTTTGACATGGCAGACATCAAATCCGTACATTTCCACTAAGATTTTCTCCGTTGATGTACAAGGATTTCTATCCTCTATCAGTCTTGTCAACACTTAGTTCCCGTCCATCACGCACCTAGATTCCTACCTTATGTTATCGATCTTATAACCACTGTTTTTTTTTCCTTTGTCAGTACCTCTGGATTCCTATCCAGTGTTACCTATCTCGTTGCCAGGGTCCGACATTCATCACCAGTATTTGACTCTTTTGTCGAGGATTAAACATCCTCTGCAAGTGCAGTTCTTATTGTCCAAACTCACCGTTTTAATCCCGCTGTGAGTTTGAGGGAGGATGTGAAATATAGTAGGATATGTATCCCTTTATTACATATCTCCCTACATATGTGACACAAATCCTAATATATTCAACATCCTCCTCATTTAAAATTGGACATATGAAGTTGCTGATTATTTGCTTCCCCATTTAGTACAACAAGATATTAGCAAATAGGAGTGGTGACCTCCATCTGCTTTTCATGTGAAAAACGGGATGTTTAGCGCCACTTAGTTGATCTCTTGGTATATATAAGCTGGCACCTCGCCATCAATGTATTCATGAGATACACACACTTAATCTCTAGTGAGACTTCAAAATGGGCCTATGTTACCCGGGTGCTTCTATCATGAGGCCGAAGCCGTACCCGACACATACCCGTACTGAAACTTCATGGACGCTCCTTGCATATACGCATACATGTATTCAGACATGTAATCAATATATGATATATTTTTTAATTTAAAACACTTGTCATGCACTTCTTGGACGTATATCCTACACTTCATATTCATTTCATTAGACAAGCCACGGGTTTGTTTTAGCCCATATCCAAGTTCAAACCTAGGATTTCAAATGGTCGCTTGAGTGTCTAGTTCAAAAACATCCCATTTCTGTCTAGTTCAAAAACAACCCATTTCCAATATATAATAATCAACGAAATAAAAGGAACTTAGAAATGTGATGTGGATTTTAATTCTAACAGCATATGAATAGAAAAATAATAATAATGATCTCAAGTAAATTATAAAGTTCAATATATATGTAGCAATGTCCTTATACCCTACATTTTACAATTTGTCATGTCCCGCACTCATACACGTTTCCATGCAACTTAGCAATGGGCAAATGTTAAGACACCTCGAACTGCATACGCACACAACCGACAACGAAATAGTTATTGATTTTTTTTTTTTTTTGTCATTTTACTATGAGCAGTTGTCGATGTGAAAGAAATGAGTTCTACATACGAGTTGCGGCTTTTAGAGCGCTCCATGAATCCCCCATCTCAAGTAAAACTTGTGCTTTTTGTTCATGCAGTATTGCCCTTCCCGGCACCAACACAATCGCAGCCTCCCACTTCTGAAGAGCCTCACTGTACTTCCCATCCTACGAAAGACGCATAAAAGAAAAACTCGATTTTTTCAATTTTACCCACAAACAAAACAATTTACGCAATAAATCCCTTTCTCAAGGGCAAAAGTGTCAAGAAATCTAACCTCGGCGAGCTGATTGCCTTGGGATTCGAAGGACTCGGCCGTCTTTATCTGATCGGGATTTTGGTTTTTGGAAGAGGGGTTCTCTGTATTGATTCGTTTTTTCTCATTTTGGGATTCTGAATCTGATTCCTCTTCTCTTTCGAAGGGGAGATTAGGGTTTAGAGCGAGAGGCTGAGCTCGAGCTCGCTTCTTGCCGCTCTCCTCTTTTGGTTTCTTCTTCCAAACTATTTTCATATTTAAATTGCGAGGAAAAAAAACGAGAGTGACGATATCTCACGGACTCTGGGCTCTATGCTTTATTCATGAAGGTTTTTTTTAGAACAAATTTTCACTTCAGCCCCATTTAATTTTTTTATTATTGAAATCGACTTTTTTTTTATTTACCAAAACCGATCCGATTTCTTGATTAGCAGCTTAATCACCTTCCTAATTAGTCGGGGTTGGCAACCCCGACTATTTAAGAGGGTGTTAAACCCTAATTAGAAGCCTTAAATCCTAAAAATTAATGTCCTAAATAGTCGGGGTTGGCAACCCCGACTAATTAGGAAGGTGATTAAGCTGCTAATCACGAAATCGGGGCGGTTTTGGTAAATAAAAAAAAGGGTCGATTTCAATAATAAAAAATTGGAATGGGGCTGAAGTGAAAAATTATTCTTTTTTTAAGGTGTAAATAAATTTGATGTTTTTTTTTGCCTACCCAAGCTAGGGCGAGCATGGGTCGGTCCAACTCGAAAAAATTAACCGAACCGATTCAAACTGACCCGAAAAAATCGGTTTTATGAGTAGGACGGTTCGGATCGGGTTAAAAACTTTCAACCTGAACCAACCGAATACTTAATAGTGCAATACCCAAATTTTAAACCCGACCCACTACCCCAAAGACTCAGTCACTCCCTTTCCCAGCCGTCGCTCCTCATTTTCTCTCTCTCTCACGACTCACTCTCTCTCACTCGGTCGCTCCTCCGCCGCGCTCCGTACTCCGCAGTGTCCGCACAGTCCGCAGTCTTCATGGCCGAGACCATAACATCTCCTCAGGCTCAGGATCTATCTTCGGCTTTGGGGGGGACACCCGCACCCGTCGTCGTCGCTGAGACCGAGCCCGAGGTATAAACTGAAAATCATTTCTTTGATGCCATCACCTTGGAGATCTAATGCCCTCTTAGTGGTCTCACATCGTAACTCCGTCTCTCAACTCTCTCGATTTCTATTATCTTAGGGTTAGGCAAATATTGATCTCAACTTTCTTGCGCTTGATTGGTGAATTTGGTACTTCGGTGAACTTTTAGGGTTTTTGTGTATCAGATTTGTTTGTATGTTAGTTTTAGTGGAGCCATTGTTAGTTCTAACTAATGTCATGTTAGTTCTAACTTCTAGCTAGTGTTATTTCTAATATAGGCATTAGTTCTAGTGGTATGTTAGTTCTAGTTGAGCCGATGGATGAATACTGAATAGCTTACAAAGTTAGTATACTAAAAAGTTGATTCTAATCAAGTTGAATTGTTGAAATAATCTACAGGCTTCTCAAAAGGAGAATCCTAATTTAAATGCAAGTCAAGTTGATTCTAATCAATCTACACAAGGCTCTCAAACTTTGACTAAAAGGAAAGCAATAAAATTAAGGTAGGAGGTATGGGATCATTTTACTAAGTTTAAAGATAAAAATGGTGACCCAAAAGCAAAATGCAAGTATTGTTCATTTTACTAAGTTTAAAGATAAAAATGGTGACCCAAAAGCAAAATGCAAGTATTGTGAAAAAGTGTATTTTGCACATTGTAAAAAAATATAAAAATGGTGACCCAAAAGCAAAATGCAAGTATTGTGAAAAAGTGTATTTTGCACATTGTAAAAAAATGGTACTACATCACTACTCAATCACATGGAGTCTTGCAAAAAACACCCACATAATGTCGACGCTCGACAGAAGTTATTAAATTTACAGGCAGATATTGATTCACAAAGTGAAGCTAGTACGAAAATGGGAACCCTTGGTAGTTGGAGTTATGATGAAGGAGCCATAAGAAAAGCCCTCAATTATTTTATCATTCTAGACGAGCTTCCATTCAAGTCAGTAGAGGGTTTAGGGTTTAAAAATTTCATGTCCACCCTTTGCCCTAGATTTCATATTCCTTCTCGTTGGACAATCCAAAGAGATTGCTATGAGATTTACCTTGAAGAAAAAAAATTTGAAGAATTTATTGAAAGCTACATGTCAGAGGGTGTGTCTAACAACCGATACTTGGACTTCCATTCAAAATATTAATTATATGTGTTTAACGGCACACTGGATTGACAATGATTAGAAATTGAACAAAAGAATAATAAACTTTTATCAAATTTCAAGTCATAAAGGAGATGATCTTGGGAAGGTGATCGAGAAGTGTTTACTAGATTGGGAAATTGAGAATATTTTCACCATCTCGGTTGATAATGCTAGTTCAAATGATATTGTTATGGTAATTTACCATTTAAAGATAAAAATATCGAAAGATTATCTTCATAGGCCCAAAAAAGCTACGGTCCAAACCAACTTAGTGGTCCAAAGGCTCAGCCAAGTTCAAGTCAACCCGCCGAGGAGACGAGTCATCTTTTACCAACACGAAGTACGGGATTAGTCGACCTCTCATAAGTCGAGACGACTCCCTAAATAGTCGGCTCGACCACCTTCTCGACAATTTACTCGACCATAAGCTCACTCGACTGACTGGTCAAATCATATGAACAACTCACAAATCGACCCATCTTTACTAAGGGGATAAGATCCAGCTAAGACACCTTCAAATATACATCAATCAACACCACAGTTTATTGAGCGATCCTATCAAGATCTCAACTCTGACAAATCTCGTGCGAAAACAGCTCACTTTGCCCACAAGTCACTTCCTAGAGATCACTAAGATACTCTCTTGTGCTCGAATGACTTCCCCTCCAGTCGCCAGCCGCCATCTGTAAAGCGAAGGAGGCCCAAACAGTCGGCATATCCTCTGTCCTGTCTCATCTATCGAATCTGGGATATTTCCAAGACGCCCTCTCCTGTGCTCAAATGACTTCCCTTCCAGTCGCCAGCTGACATCTATAAAGCGAAGGATGACTCAGCAGCATGTCTGCTCACCCCGCAACTGCCCTCCTATGCCTAGTTAAAACCAAAGGTCAATCTCAGAGGCAATGGACTATAAAAGGAGGTAAGGGGGTAAAGGTAGGGGGGCTTTTTTTTAAACTCTCTTGGGACTTTTAACTCTTTTAAGACTTCTGAACTCTTTTTCGACTAAAGCTCTAAGCAATTTTAAAAGCTATGCCTTCTTTTAAAAACTCAATAAGAGTAATGAATATCAGGACCTCAATGATCCTTGGATCTTCCCTCAAACCCCACTCAAGCTCATCAGCTGACTTGACCGTCAAAGGTACCACGGGAGAACCGGTCTCCGCCCTCTTACGGGCTTCTTCTTGTTTGTGTAGAAGGATCATGAATTCCAGTCCAAGGATCAGGTATAAAGTCGGAGGAGGAGTCGGTCCCACCTCTCATCCTCTCCCTCTTCGCCGTCAGTGCGAAGATCAAAACTACATCCCTCGGTGGGAAAACCCCATCGGCTGTTTGATATCAGACATCAATAGTTTAGCACCCACTATGGGGCCCACTCTCTTCTCTGAGAAGAAGTGCTCAATTCTAAGTAGGGACCTGATCTTGTTCGTTCTTGATGAACATCACTGGAATCGCACCGTTCAAGCTAAACAAAGTCTAGAAGCGCATCATTCAAGCTAAGGAGGATCAGCCTATGGCTATGAGGAGCCAACGTAGGCGTAGCCCTTAAGGGCTCCAATAGCTTTCTAGGGAGTATTTGCCAAGCAGAACCCCAAAAGCCCTCCTGGAGAAGACACACCACTATGGTGTTTGTCTGGCTTGAGAATGAAGCACAAGCTTTTTATCACCGCCACAGATAAAAACTCCACCGACTGGACAGCCAAGAAGTCTAGAGTTGGATCACAAAATAGAACCCTACCGCCAACAAGGGCTATGATCAGATCTAATATCGCTTAAGCTCCTGTCGACGACAGCTCACACGAACAAAGAGCAACGATTAAGTCTTTGGCAGGCTCCCCGGACAATCACCATCTTCAAAGGAGAGTCCTTCCTCACCAATGATGAGATTATGGGAAAAAACTCGGAGGGCCATCTGATGATTGTCTCCTCAGGAAATCCAGCTCTGGCCCGCGGTAGCTATTCGAACCACCAAAGTTGAAGGAAGAACTGGTGGTCGAAGCATGCGACTCGTACTCTCCCTACAAAAGAAGGCTCCTCTATTTATAGGATGGTCCAGTCGTTTCTATCCTTGGAACCCCCAAGGGGAATCCATCATTTTGTCAAATTCCATGGAGCAAAGCATCGGCACCTAGGGTTTCACCAACAAGAATTTCCCCATCACAAAAGTTGTCTGGGCCTCCTCCTGTCGGGCACCATCCTCCAAAAAGCTCAATCAACAGGACACTGGCCATGCAAGGCAACCAACAGTGGTGAAGCAAGATCTGTTGAAAATCACCACATCCACCATCGGCTAGCAAATACCTCAGTAAAGACTCAAGTTCAGAAAGGTCTTGGCTGATGAGATAGCGAATATGTCGACTACTCAGCGACGTCTAAAGCTAAACAGCTCGCCCTAAAAAAAAGAGCAACATCCGATTCTGGATATTACACAGTTTGGCAACAAAGGTAGCCAATAAAGCGGCAACTCGCCCTCGTCAAAACAGAATTGTTCAAAGGCGACACGAAACCTAGGAAGTTCCGTCTTGGTGGCCTTGTCCCCTACAAATGACAACCTCCAAAGTACATGAGCGGAAAATAAGAAATCGGCGCCATTCGGATGCTAAATGTTAATAAGTTGTTCTCCTTGATGTACAAATTTCAACAATCAATGAAAGTAAAAAAAACATCAAAGACCTAGCCAAATCTTAAGGTTTCTAGCCATTCGGCTTCCGAGTCAGATTTGCAAGACCTTAGCTCCTCATCAGGACAAGACCAAGGCACAACGACTCCTCAGTCGGCACAAAGCCATTGGCTCTTCTTCAAGGTAAGCCTAAGGCATAACATAGGGTTCAATTCCATCTGCTCTCATCGACCATCATGGTCAAGACCTTGGCCCCTTATCAGGATGAGACCAAGGCACAATGACTCCTCAGTCGCCCTTGGCTTTTCTTAAAGGTAAGCCCAAGGCACAATATATGGTTCGATTCCGTATGCTCTCATCGACCATCATGGTCA